GGAGTAAAATCCGACCAATCAAGGCTTCTGTTATCACTCAGGTCAGTACAAAGAACGTTTTCTCCCCTTCAGTGTGAAACCCTGTTCAGGCATTTAGAAAAATGACCTTCAGGATGTTTATCTCATTGTGGGAGGGAAAATGTAAGCAGAAGAACTGTTTGAGTACTCCTAAGGCCTTTCCCTGAAATATATCAACAGATAGGTGTTGGGCAGTTCCGTAGAATTCTGTAGTTATAGAGTGAGGCATCTTCTGTGTATTGGTCCCTTTTAGTGAAAGACATGGCCTCTCAAATTAGATGCTACAACGTTACTCCTATGCTAATGTATTAAAATATACAGAAAAGTTAGCCTCATAAAATAACTTAAACTGAAAAGTTAAATGTATTTTCTTGGGGGGGGGGGAGATGGGATAGTAGGTTCCCATATTTATGCAACATTTTGTTCCCACTAATTTGGTCCTGTAAATTTAAATGAATTCAACAGAATTTGCTCCCAGGCAAGTTAGGTTTAAGATCGTACCAAAAATATTTGTTGCAGAACTGGCTGCAGATTTGAGAGAGGGAGCGTGTCCTTTTAGAAATTTCAAATTGAAGAAACATTTGTTTCACATGAGCAGGTATTCCATGTGCCACTAGAAGAGAGGAAGTACAAGGATATGAACCAGTTTGGGGAAGGAGAGCAAGCCAAAATCTGCTTAGACATCATGCAGAAGACAGGAGCTCACCTGGAGCTATCTCTTGCAAAAGATCAAGGATTATCAATAATGGTTTCTGGCAAACTGGAAGCAGTGATGAAGGCTCGGAAGGAAATTGTAGCTCGGCTTCAGACGCAGGTGAGTGATTTGATTTCTCCCTATGATGTTATTCTGCAATGGAGATTTAAAGATGTAGTGCCCACTGGGCCAATATGTTGTGAACCAACTCATGTATTGTAGATCAGGGGTCCACAACCCCCTGGCCGTGGACTGCTACTGGTCTGGGGCCTGTTGGAACTGTGAGTAAAGTTTCGTCTGCGCATGCGTGGGATTTAGGTAGCATGCGAAAAACACACACCGACCCATGCAAAAATTGTTTTCCATGAAGCTGATTCCTGGTGGCCAAAAAGTTGGAAACCATTGCTGCAGAGTTCTTGGTGTTTTCTGAGCTTAGTTTTCTTGCAGACATTTGCAGGCATGGTATGAAATGACTGCAAGAAAACAACCAAGTTCAGAGAGCATCAAGAGTTCCATAGTTCAACCTTGAGCTACAAATATTCTCTTCTATTGGTATTATATGTACTGCATCTTAAGAGCCCATAAGAAAGGCTTAAAGTATGCCAGGTTTCCCATAAAATAAAGTTCAAATATTTCTTCCATTCCACAGCTTTTATTTCTGACTATGTACCTTACCAGGAGCCACCAAAGCAAGTGGTGGGTTTTGAAAGCATGAATTTAGTGATAGTTATTCAAGCTTAGCTGACTTTTTAAAGATATTCGATATAGTTTAAGTTTTCATAGTAAAAGCTGATCTTTTGAGGGGTGCCAACTTTTCCCCTTCTGAAAATTGGTACTCTGATAGAAAAAAGAATGGAATCCTATCTTTTTTGTTAAAGTCATTAAACAAACTGTTGCAAGTCAAGGACTACCTGCATTGGATGGGCAAATTCAGCTTATAGAAAAGAGTCTCAATAGTAACGGTGACTTAAACCATAAAAGGCATTATAGGTAATAGGTAGTAATCAGCACTTTGATTTTACCTGGAAACCATTAGTTAGCTAGTAAAGTGACCAAATAAGTGATATTCTTCCACAGGTCTGACTTTTATTTTTATTATTATTTATTGTATTTTTACCCCGCCCTTCTCCTTGCGGACTCAGGGCGGCTAACAGCCTAATAAAAACAGATACAAAAATACAAAAAATACCATCATTAAAAACATAATTAAAAGGAAATATTAATTTGGCCTTTGTTATTTTAAAAATTATTTTAAAACCCAGCTAAAAATTACCCCTTAGGCCAGTCCTGC